TGGTAAATGCTACTCTGAGCAGGTGAGAGGATTTCCCCCACCTTTGCTCAGCTTTGGAAGCATATCTATAGACACCATCCTGTCATCTTGTTATAGTGAGCAGGGCAAAGATTCTGCTGACATCATACTCTTTTTCTGAAATTTTCCAAAGTCACAATTTCCTTAGTGTCAGGGGGTTGAGGGGGTGGGGGAAATCATGCAGAGAGAGTGTCCTCATGCTTGCCTTCCAGGAAAAAATTCCACCCATTAGCATTCCTTTGGCTGTTTTCAGCGGATCTATCCCTAGCGTTCAGTGTCAAACTGGGGAAGGATTGGGGGCAGGGGTTGGGGTGGGATCTAGCAACTCCTAGCACAGCACTGGAACTTGAGCTGGCTCCCCTTATCTCCAATAAGTGTGTGTGTGGGGGGGGGGAGTGTCATCCAGTCTCAGTTGAGGAATGGGGTCTGAGATACAACCAGCCCTGAGATCCTAGGACTGTTAGGGGGTCAGGGGGACTGGTGGGGACACTGGAGGTACCTGGGAGAGACTGGGCCCTGGGCGCAGCCTACTTCTTCCATCCCAGGGCCGTTGCCTCGGTGATTGGCGCTATGGAAACAGGGGAGGTGTGAGGAGGAGGGGAGAGGCGGGTAAGGCCCTGGCGGCTCAGTTTCCGCCCTCAGCTACGGTTCCCCCACCCTCCTGATCCCGGCCAGAATTCCCAAAGGGGTGTGGGGGTGTGGGGGTGGGGGTTAGGAGAAAGATCTCTAAGCTCCAGAGTAGGCAGCAAGAATGGAAGGAGAAGAGGCCGAGGAGTAATGAGGCTGTCCAAGGTGCTGAACCCGGGACCTGAGCTCGGGTGGGTGAACAAGGAGTTCCCTCCCTCTCCAAACTGCACCTTCGTGACACCTCACGATTTAGGGGCGCGTGATGTTTATCCAAGCTAGGTCCTGCCAAAGTTCGATTTTCCTTTCTTTTCTTTTTATTTATTTTACTCCTTCCCCCCACCCCAACGCCGAAAGAAGAAGAAGCTGGAGTCATCTGGGACTAGTTGACCCCAAATGCCCGGCCCCTGATCCCACCTCCGTGTCCCCATAACGCCCCCCCACACACACCATGCACGCCCCCAGCACAACTCTGTCCCGGAGTGGGTGGCTCCCCGGACCCCTCCTCGGTTTTGCCGCACAAAGAGCCTCTTCTGCCGGGAGTCACACCCCCTGCCACCCCCGCCCCGCCCGCCCCCCAGCGTTCGGGGTCCTTTCCCCTCCTCCCCTGCCCGCGAGTGCGGAGGGGGGGGGTTCTTCACCACCGCGGCTGCTGCTGCGGGAGTTCGGAGACCTGCAATTCCAACCCTTCTTCTTCAGATCCCACCTCATCCAGGAGACCTCGACCCGGCCCTCGGAAGACTTGACATCTCGCTTCCCACCCCCCCCCCCCCCCCCCCCCCCCATCTCGAACCCCTCGCTCCCCCCTCCAGCCTTGCGCCCCACTCACGCGTGCCGTCAAAACGGGTGGCGATGGTATCCAGGAAGGTGTTTTGCGGGGCCAGCAACCCCTTCATGACAGGCATGGCCCCGGGACGCGGGTTCGAGGGGCTGCGCGGCGGAGGAGCGGTCAGCGGGGCCGGGCTGGAGGGGGCGTGCTGCCCGCGGGGCCCGGGCGCCCCATGCGCCCGCCTGCCTCCTCCCCTCCCTCTCCCACCGCGCTGCCTCTCGGCTCTGAACCCCGGAGCTCTTGGCTCCACTCGGCACCGCCTCCGTCACCCCCCCCCTCCCCACGGGTCAGGTTCTTCCCTGAGGGTTCGGCCCGCGCCCGCCACGTGGCCCCTCACGGGGAGGGGCCGCCAGAGACTCCCGCACCCCTCTCCGCAGCCCTCCTCCCTCCCGCTGGGGAGCGGCCCACGCGTGTCTCTTGGGGAAAAGAGACTTGAAGACACGCCCACCTGGAGGTGGGGCTTGTCTGGAAGACACGCCCCCCGTCCAGGGTGGCCACGCCCCCGCGCGTGGTTCCCTGGCTGCTCCTGTGGCTCCACCCCACGGGTTTCCCCCGCGCGGCCCACGCTGGGGCTGGTGTCTGGTTCACAGTGCCGCCTGCTGGAGTTGGCATGTTTGCAGCGTCCCTGTGTGATAGAGCCAGGGTTCAGAGCCTAGTTTTTTTGTGGATTAGGAGTTAAAGATGTGAAGTTTTCATTTGTCCAGAAACAAATGGACTCATTCATTACCTGACTGTCATCACCTTTATAATAAAAATAAAAAATAAAAATGTATTTCAAAAAATGTGAAGTCGGGCTGGGAAGGTGGCTCAGTGGTAGAGTGCTTGCCTTGCATGCAGGAGGCCCTGGATTCTATTATTCAGCACCACATAAGCAGAAAAAGCCAGAAGTAGCGCTGTGACTCAAGTGATAGAGCGCTAGCCTTGAGCTGAAGAGCTGAGGGATAGCATCTAGGCCCAGAGTTCAGGCTCCACAACCAACCAAAGCAAAAACAAAAACAAAAAAAGTAAAATCTTAGAAGCCCAGCTTCCCCCAGGAAGTAAGCCCCACTAAGTCTTGTCTTCTCTCTCTTTGCTGAGGATACCAGCTAAACTCTAATGAACCCAGCAGGTCAGACTCAGGTCTGGACATGAACTGTGTGACAGCCTTTCCCAGACTAATTTTCCTTATCTGTAAAATGGAGCTAGCAACTACCTCATGCAATTATTGAGAGAATTATGTAGTCTTTCTCTTTCTTTTTCTTTTTGTTAATTTTTGTCAGTCATGGGGCTTAAACCCAGGGCCTGGGTTCTGTTCCTGAACTCTTTCTTTTGCTCAAGGCTAGTGAGCTACCACTTTGAACCACAGCGCCACTTCTGGTTTTCTGGTGGTGAATTGAAGATAAGATAAAGAGTCTCATGGACTTTCCTGCCTAGGTTGGCTTTGAACCATGACCCTCAGATCTCAGCCTCCTGAGCATTTAGGATTATAGGCATGGGCCACTGACACCTGGCTTTAGTCATTTGTGTGTGTGTGTGTGTGTGTGTGTGTGTGTGTGTGTGTGCCATACTGGGGCTTGAATTCGGGGCTTTGGGAATATCTGTTAGGTTTTTCCACTCAAGGATCGCACTCTTCCACTTGAAGCACAGCTCCACTTCCAGTTTTTGAGTGGTTAATTGGAGATAAGAGTCACAGGCATTCCAACCCAGGCTGGCTTTGAACTGTGATTCTCAGACCTTAGCCTGCTGAGTAGCTAGAATTTCAGGCCTGAGCCACCAGAGTCCAGCCCCCTTTTAATTTTCATTATTATTAATTTTTTGTATGTTCCAGTAATGGGGCTTGAACTCAGTGCCTAAATTCTGTCCCTTAGTTGTTTTTTTTTTTTTAACTAAAGCTGGTGTTCTACCACTTGGGACAGTCTTCCACTTCCAGCTTTTTGGTGGTTAACTGGGAATAAGAGTCTCTTACTCTTGTCTGTCCAGACTTCAGACCACAATCCTCAAATTTCAGCCTTCTGAGTAGCTGATTACAGGTGTTGAGCTACCAGTGCCCAGCTAAGATCAGATTCTGAATGTCAATATAGGCATTTTGGCAGGAATGCCAATTAAATTTCTAGTGTCTTTGACTATAGTTACAGAAAAGTCTTGTCCCATTGCTGCTTAAGAACCCCCAACCCCCCATACACCATTGTTACAGAATGAAGGGCAGTGTGATAATTGATTACAACCTTCACAATCCAGGTTGTGCCAACTCATCCCAGGGACTCATTTTCAGAAGCATTTCTACTCCTCATCCCTATACCTCACACTGCAATCCCTCTGGGAGATACAAGCTCGTATGCCCTGTCTTTGGGCAGGTTAGACTCTCAGCTCTATCCTCTGCAAGCCTTCTTTTTGTTTTTGTTTTTTTTTTGTTTGTTTTTTGCCGGTCATGGGGCCTGAACTCTGGGTCTGGGCGCTGTCCCTTAGCTCTTCAGCTCAAGGTTAGTGCTCTACCACTGGAGCCACAGCGCCGCTTCCGGCTTTTTCTGTTTATGTGGTGCTGAGGAATCGAACCCAGGGCCTCATGCTTGCAAGGCAAGCACTCTACCACTGAGCTACCTTCCCAGCCCTGTCTGCAAGCCTTCTTAACTTGCTTCCTCCTCCTCCTCCTCCTCCTCCTCCTCCTCCTCCTCCTCTCCTCCTCCCCCCCCCAGCCTTTTTTACTCAAGGCTAGCCAAGCTCCATTTCCAGCTTTTGGGGTAGTTAATTGGAAATGTCTTACAAGCTTTCTTACCTGGGCAGTCTTTGAACATTGATCCTATGATTACAGGTGTGAGCCACCTGTGCCTGGCGATGCTTTGATTTCTCCCTCGGGTCATGAGATAGTCTGCAGAGCAATGTGGGGGCATGGCTGTCCCATGTCCTCCCCAACTAAGCATGCATCTGTGCAGCTAGCCCTGCACTCCAGGGCTTTGCAGATGGTCCCACCAGATGGTTCAGACCAGATGGTTTATGGGGCTTGAACTCTGGGCCTGGGCGCTGTCCCTCAGCTCTTCAGCTCAAGGCAAACGCTCTACCACTTGAGCCACAGTGCCATTTCTGGTTTTCTGATGGTTTATTGGTGATGAATCTCACCGACTTTCCGGCCCGGGCTGGCTTTGAACCTCGATCCTCAGATCTCAGCCTCCTGAGAAACTGGGATTACAAGTGTGAGCCACCAGCGCCCGGCTGTTTCAGACTTCTGACAAGCTAGACTACCAGGCCTTTAGCTTCTTTAAAATGCTCCCTGAGCAAGGGAAGGGGCGGCATCAAAAAAGAAATGTACTCTTTATCATCTGTAACTGTAACACCTCTGTACATCACCTTTATAATGACAATAAAACGTTTTAAAATATAAAAAAGATGCCCTGGCGCCCCCTGGAAGGCGCCGGTGGGGGGGGGGGGCGACACACTGTAACAAAGTCCAGTCACACGAACAGAGAGTCGTCTTTATTGCCTTTTTACTAGGGACTGACACCGGCGAGCAAAAGGGAGAAGACAGGACCCGAACAGGGACAGGAGAGAGAAGGGTTCAGATTCCGGGCCGCCCGGCGGGCACGGCTGCAGCGGCTGCAGCGGCGGGACAAGGTGGGCCGGGGCAGGGCCGGGCCGGGGGCTCTGCGCCTGCGCGGCGGCGGCCCATGGTCAGGATGCCCGCGGCGTGGTTGCCGCTGGCCTGCAGGAGGCGCTGCAGCCGGCCCTGGAGGCCCGGGGGTCCCAGCCTCCGCTTGCCCAGCGTGAGGATGCCGGCGGCGTGATTGCCCGCGCCGTGCAGCAGCTCGTAGAGGCGACAGGAGCACGTCTTCTGGCGACAGCAATCGGGCAGAGGCTGCGCGGCCGCCCCGGGGGACAGGAGCGCGGGCGGCAGCAGCAGCAGCAGCAGCAGTGTCACAGCCGCCCAGGAGACCTAGGGAGGGAGGCAGAGACGAATGCTGGAGGTCTTCCTCTCTCCCGGCCCGCCCACCAGCCTCCATTGCTCAGGCCCTAGCTTACCCTCTTCTAACCTTGTGCTGCAATCAGTTTTCCTGCTTCTGTCCTTGCTGTCTCCTTTGCTAGCTCATCCTGCAAGACCCAGCAGAGTATCTCCCCCGGGAAGTCCATTGGAGATTGCCTGGGTAGCCTCAATCTCTCACCTTTCATGATACTTCTGTCCCCATATTAAAGGCTTACCATTCCACCTAGAGACGGGTGTGTCTGAGTCTGTCTACTCCAGTTTTTTCATTATTGTTGTTTTTGGTGTGTTTGTGGGGGTTTTTTTCCCCTCTTTTTTTTTTTTTCTTCTCTAAATCATGAAGCTTGAACTCAGGACCTGGGCACTGTCCCTGAGCTCTTCAGCTCAAGGCGAGCACTCTACCACTTGAGCCATGGTGCCACTTCCAGTTTTTTGAGTGGTTAATTGGAGATAAGTGTTTCACTGGGATTTTTCTGCCCAGGCTGGCTTCGAACCAAGATCCTCAGATCTCAGCCTCCTGAGTAGCTAGCTAGGATTACAGAGTAGTTAGGATTACAGATGTGAGTCATCAACACCCAGCCAGAAGTTGTTTTTAACATGGGGAAAACAGAGGCCTTATTTAAAATCACCCTCCCCACCCCCTTGCCCACACAGCGAGCAACCAGGTAGAAATCCATGATCAACAGTACTCTAGGCTGTTGTATCCTCTGCCTTTTGCAGGAGAAACTGGACACCATGACTTCTGACCCATTTTGCACTCTTTAGAACAAAGGTTCCTCTACCTGTACAGTGCAGGGCTACTGGGAGGATGAGAAGTCAGGTACAAACAGCACTTGACAGGCACATAGTAAATCCTCAATAAACATAAGCTCTTAGAAGAACAGGGCACAGGACATGGTGTTAGCTAAGTCAGGTTAGTGGCCAGGAGTTCACATTAGGGAAACACTTTTGGCCTTTTCTCCAGCCCCCTGAGCAAGCATTCCTTTTACCTCCCTGCTATGGTGTCTTTACCTTTGTGGAAGGAAGCTTCATGGCGTCTGGTTAGGCCGAAAAGGAAGTGTCTGCAGTGCAGAGGTCCAAATGGCTGCAAAGCTTGAGACCAGCGTCTGGGTGTGACCGACGAGCAGGGGTCCAGGGTTTATAGTGCTCTGAGGTGGCAGGGACATGAGGAGCACTTGCGTCCTTTCCGGAGCCAGACAAAGGCCAGTCTAAGATTAGTATCCCAAAATGGGGGCCGTCTCCAGGCTGGGCCTAAGGAATGGCGGTGGAGGCATTAGGAGGCCCGGGTTGGATGTCTGTGACCTTGGTTCCCCTCTTTTGTCTATCTGCCTGCTCCTTGGAGATGGGGTGGTCTCCCAGCACTAATGAGGCCACCTTGCACCCAGGAATCTGACTGGATAATAGAAGCCTAAGCCTTCTCTGGGGCACTGCCTGGGACAATGGGGGAGAGGGCAGCTACTAATTAGGGGCGGCATTGTGCCTGTGTGTCCATTGTGTTGAGACACAACAAGCCCCCACCCTACCCTGTCACTGCCTCTGGGATCTGTCAGGTTCCAGAGCCTTCTTCCTCCCTGGAGACAGTTTCTGAGCTGCTCTCCCCTGCTGCCCAGCTTTCCTTCTACCCATTCCACCAGTCTTCATGATGGAAAACCCTGGAGAGCCACTGCAGGCAGTAGGAGCAAAACGCAGCCAGGCTTGGTTCCTGCTGGAAGCTGGTGGAAAAGTATCCTCCTCATTTCTTCTTCTTCCCCCCATCTCCATGGGATCCCCTTTTCTCCACTGATTTTTTTTTTGTCAGTGGTGGGACTTGAACTCAGGGCCTGAGCACTGTCCCTCAGCTCTTTTGCTCAAGGCTAGTGCTCTACCACTTTGAGCCACAGCTCCACTTCCAGTTTTCTGGTGGTTAATTGGAGATAAGATCCTCATGGAATTTCCTGCCTGAGCTGGCTTTGAATCACGATCCTCAGATCTCAGCCTCCTGAGTAGCTAAGATTATAGGTATGAACCACTGGTGCCTAGCCCTCTTCTCCATCTTTAGTGGTAGAGCCATTTAGCATGAAGGACTCATATTCTCTGTGAACTTAGCTTCTATTTAGGGCACTGTAACCGAGCCCCTGTTCTAGGCCAGCCTCAAGTAGCACGAGTGCAGCAATGTACATAGGCCCTGCTTTCAAGAAACACACGAGTCTGGGTGTGGTGACATTTGGCACAAGAATTCAAGAGAGGGAAGAATAGTCATCAGCAAAGACTTCCTGGGTTGCAGGGATAGGGAGGGGAAGTGAGAGGAGAGCTGGGGCTCTTGAAGGCTTTGTCTGAAAAGTAGACAAGTAGGTTAAAGGAACAGGCATGCTTCAGAAGAGACAACCTGATAAAAGGTTGGAGGTGCCAGGGCTTTGCTCACGTGGGGTGGGGGCGTGGTACTCAGTATGGAGAAAAGAGAAATGGCTATGAGGGCCAGCATTTTCTTTTCTCTTTTATTCTGTGCCAGTACTGGGCTTGAACTCTGGGCACTGTACTCTTAATTTGGCTTTTTTACTCAAGGCTGTTCTGATCCTTATACCTGAGTAGCTAGAATTATAGGTGTGAGCTACCAGCACCAGACAAGAATGTTCAAAGGACCTAATGGTTCAAGTTGATTGGTCTTCCTCTGTGGATGGAGAGCCACTGTGGGGTGGGGTTGAAATGGGAAAGTCGTGGGCTGTGGTAGAGGTGGCTGACAAGGGAGGGGCCCACCCGCGGGGACCCTAGAGGGACTGGGTTGCAGTGCAGAGGTAGAATTGGAAGTTCAACAAATGCTCCAGAACAGAGCAGCCTTGATTTAGGAGCTATGGGGCCTTAGGGAATCACACAAGGTGGGAGGCTCAGTTTCCCCACTGCTCTGAATTTGCTTCCTGCTGTGATAACGTTGCAATTTGAAGTATAGCTCCCCCTATGCCCACTATAGAAGTGAGTTGTGGTTGTTTGGTCAGAAAAGGGTCCTTATAGGGCACTGGACGTTGTGAACAGCTTTTTCACCTTTCAGCTATGCTGGTGACTCAGGGGGAAGCTGAAAGGGCAGTCTGTGTTTTCTAGGTTGCCTTAGGCAAGAAGGAGCTGCTCAATCCTCCAGGAAGCACTTCAGATTGAGCAAGGGAGGAGGGTCACAGGAACTCACTACTGCTGCAGGTGGCTTCCAACCACCCTGCTGGGGACCCTCAAGAGATCTTACAGAACACACTTGAAATTTGTCTTACTCAGAGAAACGATGCTGAGGTTTTTATTCATCAACTCCTGTCCCACATACTGATGAAGGACATGAGTTCCAATTTATTTTGGCCCACCCCAATGCATGGTTCAAGTGGCCAGAGAACACCACTGGGCTGAGACACACAGGAAACCATTGGTATGACTGGGAATCCTCTAGTAATGTCCTCCATAGCCGGCCGAGGTGGATATGGGCAGGGCACTGCTGCATTCTGCCATAGTCCTAAAGCTCACACTTCAGAATTAGCCAACAAAGGCCAACATTTCCCATCAGGCCCGGGGGCTCTGATGAGCCAATATCAGGTGAAAGTCTCTGGCCAAGGACTCTCCATCCAGAGAGGCCTCAGAGGAAAGAGTCAGGCTGGTGCTGTGGACAGCAGGGCTGTAGGCGCCCGTGGCTCAGGACACCACCCTTCTCTGCAGGAGCTGGGCCAGGTGCCTATGCCTAAGGACCCGGGGCATGGAGGGAGGGAAGGAAGCTGAGGGGCAGGAGGCCAGGGCAGCCCGGAGTGCTTGGAAGGCCCCTGGCCCCACCAGGTGCACCCTGGCAGGGCCCACGCTGCCTCTGAACCGCAGAGACTTGTAATGAGGCGAGGCTTCCTGGAGGCAGTGGTCCAGCTGAGAACAGAATGGTCAGAGGCTGGCAGGAGGCTGTGTATACATGACTATGCTTGGGGAGGTGGGTAACATGCATTCAGCACCCCTCCCATCCTGAGCCCTGGAAAGGGGCCTCTCCCCCCCTGCCTCTCTCTCTCTGTCACTCCCCCGGGGATGTGTGGAATGGAGAACAGGTGGTCACATCCTGGCCCCCATCTCCTTTACCTTATCTCGATTTCCTTCCGACAGATTCCGCAGCCCCCTCAGCTCCACAAACACCTCGTAGTGCGGAGCAGAGCCATCAGAGGAGTCTGCAGACAAACCCCACATGCACACGTTTTTCCTGAGAATGGGGTGGTTTTCAGGGCCAACACCCTTTGCCCCCATCTCTTCTTCCCTCTTCTGAGGCTCATGGGGGGGAAAGGGGGAACAAGGGCAAATGGAAAAGAACCTAGAGGCTAATCTTAAATATGAGACAGGTCAGGAAAGGAAGTAGGTAAAAAGTGCAGCAGGAAAGAAGGGAGTTAGATCCAAAGAGGGACTTTTGTTAGGAGCAATAAAGGAAGCGGATCCTTTCCTCCTTTTTAGAGGTCTCCTGGCAGGATGGATATAGATTATGGCAACAACTGATGGAGACCCTTACCCAGAATGCTGCTTTCCACACAGCCATGGTCCAACAGCTTAGCTCCTGGCCACTGTCCCACTGCCTGGGCCAGGGCTTCGGAGAACATCTTCTCACCAGTCATTTCTCCCCGTACACTCAGAGTCTGGTCCAGCCTGGGGGAGGAAGAGGGCAAAGGCAGTGGTGCCCGGTATACAAGGACAGCCCTTCAGTACCCCTGGGGTTGCTTACCTGTACATGAATCTGACAACTGGACACTTATTATAGGCACCAACCACCTGTACCACATCACCCAAGCGGCACCTGAGGGAGGAGGGTTGGGAGAGAGGGTGTGCTCACCCCCTTGCTCGCCCCCCTCCCCCAGCGGGGCATCAGAAGGCCTGAGGTAGCTGGGGCAGGGGCAGCGGATCACCTGGTCAGCCTGACGTGGTCAGTCAGCACCAGCTCATACTCCTCGCCCCTTTGGGCTTCAGTCAGAAGGAAGGTGGGAGCTGTCTCCTCTTGAGTTTCTTCCTTGATTGGGAGCAGCTCAATAAAAGGGGCTCCAGGGTGCAGGAGGTAGAGCCCATGGGGCTGCTCTGGCCATAAGTTTAGGCCTACCACCCCTGCAGGGAGCAAAGCAAGTTCTTTGCCATCTGGTGGTGCACTGACATCAGACAACAGCAGCAGGCCGCCAAGCCTTATCCTGGACTCCAGGCCCCCGTCCTCCCCATCCTGCTCCCCATTCTTTCTGGCTTCCAGACCCAGCCTTGTTTGTTCCCTTCTGGGAAGAGGCAGGCAGAGGGCTGTGGCTTTAGAGGTAGCAGAGCAGAGTAAATCCTAAAACTGGGGAGTTTCATGCAACATTCCTGCTTCTCTGTGAACCTGAGTGTTCACACATCTGTGAGATACAGCTGAGAATCCCCAGTGTGTACAGTGTAGGAAGCATTCAAGGAGTCTGTAGGACTCAGTGTACGGCCGAGACTGTATGCCTGTGACCCGTCCCCGCTCCACCCAGCCTGCATTCAGCTGACCTCCAGAAGCAGCATAGGCAGGAGAGAAGAAGGCTAGCCCTTGACACCACAAAGCCCCAAGGGCAGCCACTGCCTCCGCCTGTCCTCCTGCATCCAGAGTCACCACCACCCGCAGCTGTGGCCATAGCCGAAGGGCCAGTCCTCGGGATCCCTGCTTCAGGGCCTCCCGCAGCTCAGCTGCCCGTTTGGGGAGCGGCTCCCCTGTGTTCCCAGCAGCTATTGCCTCCGCCAGTTCTTCGCCCTTGACCTCCAGGCCTGAGAAGACATCCAGGAGCTCCACTGCTGTTCCAGCCTCCAGTGCCCTCAGCCCTGGGGACCTGAGTGCCACGAGCAACAGGGCCTCAGTGTCCTTGGTCCCTGGGGGTCTTGCCCAGCTCAGGACACTCCCAGGCCAGGGAAGAGGGCTGGGCCATGGAGATGTGGGGGTCACACAGGCAGTCCCTCCTGGAGCTAGCACTTCTGGATAGGCCTTGTTCAGGGCTACAAGACCCAGCAGGGTGGCCTGATGGGGGAAACAAGAAAGGCTGTTAGGAGCCAGGTGCTAGTGGCTCACATCT